ATCACTCATATTACGAATGTTATAATCTCTTTACATTAGTTTTAGTTTTAAGTTGTATTAATTATTATTAGGTATAATACATTTAATACATTTTAAAATATAAAATTACTGTGCCATTAAAATTATATAGTGAATAATTATTAATTTTAGGTTAATGTGGAAGATAAAGTAGTACCTTCACATAAATATATATAGCTTTTAGCATGCATTTAATAATTAATATGCAGTATAATTCTTTTCTTATTCTTTATAAAATAATGATAAAATAATTGAAAAGATAAAGATAAGATCAGAAGAGAAAGAAAATGGAAAGTTAAAATAATAAGTACATTTATTACATTTTAATGTAAAAATAATATTTTCTTATTTTTTTAACAAAGTTTCTTCTTCTCATAAAAAAAAAAGTTTCTTCTATAATTAAAACAAAAATGACAAATTTTAGTACCTATTTAATCTTGAAGGTAGTATTTTATATAATATATATAAAAAGTTTATTATTGGACATATAAATTTTCTTTATACATAGGGTAGCATTTTTAGTTTCGTTTTTAATATAAATTTTATTAATTGTTAATCTAATAATCAAATCTACCTGAAATATTATAAAATAAAGAAAAGTACTAAACAATTCTTTATTTTTTTTAACATAAGTCTTTACTAACTCTTTCTTCTACAATTTCTTAACTTGCAAAATTTTATTTTACGGTTAGTAAGTAAAATTTATAAGTAAAATGACTAAAAAGTTAATAATAGTATACTAAGAATAAAATAAGAAACATAATATCTTATTGCAAAAACAAAAAAAACAAATATAATATTTTCATATGACTTGATTTCTATCAAATTCATACCTTTCTTGTTTAGTTAAGTGTATAAAACAACAATTTTATTGCTCTAATTGACTCCAATCTGATGAGTGAAACTCTCTCCCTAGCATGCCAAAAAAAAAAAATTCATCCATTAATAGCTCTCTCCTTAGCATGCCAAAAAAAAAAAATCATCCATTAATAGTCTACAAAGAAAAGAATGCATAAATTTTAAACAAATAAAGTTACAAAATTCGTTTAAAAGAACAATATCATATGTTTTATAAAAAATTCATAAAAAAGACTAATAATCCTTATTTCATACAACAATATACATATTTTGGACAAAGAAAAAAAAAAGGCACAAGAAAATAAAAATGTAATATTATATTTAGTTAGGTTAAATGCTAAATTTGGTCCCTCAACTTTAAGAAATGCACATTTTTTATCCCTCAACAATTTTTTGCACTTTTTTGATCCCTCAACTATAAGAAATGCACTCCGTTAGTCTTTCTGTTAATTTGAGCCGTTAACTTCGTTTATGTGGCATTTTTTATATTTTTTTTATGTGGAGAGCAAAATTGAGAAAAGTGATGACATGGACAAATATTTTGACATGTCATGTTACTATGTGCCAAATCTATTCAAATGGGTCCCACATCATTAATAAATAAATTTACCTTTGGTTGACATGGCACCAAATATATTCAAATGGGTCCCACATCACTAATAAAAAAAATCTTTTAATGATATAAAAATTAAGTGATATTTTTTACATTTTTTTAATAATATAACAAATTAAATTAAATATTTATCCAAATAAAAAATAATATCAAATCAAATTTTATTAATTAATTATCATTAAACTATAATTATTTATATTAATTAAAATTAAGATTCTAAATTAATTTAT